TGGCTCTTTTTCAGACTAGACTAGGATTTCCCAACCTCAGCACTGTTAATATTCTGAATTGGATAATTTTTCATTGTGGGGATGCCCTGTGCATCTTAGAAAGTTTTGCAGCATCCCTACCCTCTACAAACTAGATTTCAGTAGCACACACACCCGTACTTAGTTGTGACAACCAAAAGTGTCCCTAGATGTTGCCAAATGTTCCCCAAGGGGAAAAATTACCCTGGCTGGAGAACCACTGACTAGAGGAGGATCAGCCACTCTGAACCTCTTTTATTTCTAAGAGTGTGCCTCACTATGTCTTTCTTCATAGCCTTTGTTCATGTTTCTTCCTTCTTTACCTAGTTGATCCTTACTAGTCCTACAGATTTCAGATGTCCTCTCCCCAGGAAAGCCCTCTCTGATCCTCTCAGACTGGGTCAGGTGCCTCTTCTGGGCTCCCACAGCCCTGCAGGCTGTCTTATCCTATCCTTGCCTATTCTGGGTTGTCACTGTCTGAGAACTGGTCTGTGTCTCCTCCACTGGACTAGGAGCCCAAGGAGGGCACAGCCAAAACTGTCTTGGGCACTACTGTGTCCTCAGCACCACTCAGCTCAGTGTTTGTAGAATGAATGGATCTTGAAAACAGGCTGAGCTGCTGATACCCCTGCCCAACCCTCGTGGCCTCTGCTGATTCCTGGATCCCTTAGTGGATGTTTCTGGGGATTATGTATGTGTTAGTCTCTTTCTGTTGCTTCTAACAGAATACCTGAAACTTGATAATTGAAAAATACATGAAATTTACTTCCTACAGTTTTGGAGACTGGGAACACATTTGGAGTCCAGGGAACACATCTGGTGAGGGCCTTCTTCCTGGTGGGAACTCTACACAATCCCATGGTGACCAGCTTATCACATGGCAAGAATGGGCTGAACAAGCTTGCTAACCTTCTCAAAACAAACAAAAACAGACAACAAAAAGGGCTGGCTGGTTAGCTTGATTGGTTAGAGTGCAGCCTTATAACACCAAGGTCACGGATTCTGATCCCCATACCAGCCAGCCACCAAAAAAAAAACAGAGAGCTAACCTCACTCCCTCTCCTTATAAAGCCATCAGAACCACACCCATGGTAACTCATTACTTCATGAATGCATTAATTCATTCACAAAGGCACAGTCCTCACAATCTAATCACCTCTCAAAGACCCCACCTTTCACATATCATATTGAATTTCCCACCCTCTTAACACTGTTAAAATGAAGATCAAGTTTCCAATACACAAACTTTTACGGGACACATTTGACCCATATCAGTGTCAGAGATTGGACATGCAGGTCCAAGAGCAGGAACTGTCTTAGTCCCTGCTGTGCCCACAGCCACCACCACCCTCTCCCCACCCACAGGGCCTGCCACAGAGCAGACGCACCCTCAGCCTAGTCTCATGCCACAGCCAGCCTGCTTCTTTTTTAGCCAGGAGCTCGGACACAGGGCCCACACCTCTGTCATTCATTCCCTCAGTTAAGGTGTATTGAGTCCATAGTACATGCTAGGCCCTGTGCTAATGCTGGGGATACAGCTGTGAACAGAACAGAGGCCCTGCCCTCTTGGAGCTCATGTTCTAGTTGGGGGTAAGGAGTGGGGAAGCACAGGCACACACAGTGAATAAGACAAATAAGAAAAATATATAGTGGCTCAGACAGTGTTAAGTGTCATGTTCAGAAATTAAGTTGGGATGGGGATAGGCAGTGAGGGGTAGGTAGTAAGATTGCAATTTATTTTTTTCTTTCTTTTTTTTTTTTAAAAGATGACCGGTAAGGGGATCTTAACCCTTGACTTGGTGTTGTCAGCACCACGCTCAGGCAGTGAGCAAACCGGCCATCCCTATATGGGATCCAAACCCGTGGCCTTGGTGTTATCATCACCGCACTCTACTGAGTGAGCCACAGGCCAGCCCTAAGATTGCAATTTAAATAGGTGGTCTGGGGAGGCCTCTGTAAGGAGGTGACACTTGAGCAAAGACCTGAAGGAGGTGAGGGAGGGAGTCACGAAGATAATTGAGGGAAAAGCCTTTGAGGTAAAGAGAACAGCCAGTGCAAAGGCCCTGATATGGGAGGTGCCTGGTGTGAAAGAACAACTAGGATGCCAGTCTGTGGCAGGAGCAGGTGAGTGCCAGGAGAGGAAGGAGGGTGGGGAGCAGATTATGCTAGGCTTTGGAGGCTGTGGTGAGGGCTTTGCCTTTATCTGAGGAAAGTGGGAGCCACCAGAGAGTTACCTCTTTATCGGGGTATAATTTAGATACCATAACATTCACCCATTGTTAGCATGGAGTTCAGTGGCTTTTGGTACGTTTATGCAGTTGTGCAGAGCAACCCTCACCACAGTCTGGGCTGAGACTACTTCCATACCCTCCAAAGGTCCCCTTGTTCCGTTTTGTAGTCACTGTCTGCTCCCAGTCCTAGGTAACCACTGAGGTGCTTTCTGTATAGTTTTGCTTTTTCTAAAAACTTCTTAAACATGGAATTAGACAACCTCCACTCTTTCGTGTCTGGCTTCTTTCATTTGGCATAATGGTTTTGAGGTTCATGTTGTTACATGGATCTGCAGTTGTTTTTTTTTTTTATTACTGAGTAGTAATTCATATATACGTGACTGCTTATTCATTTATGCATTAAAGGAAATATGTGTTGTTTGTAGTTTTTGGTTATTATGAATAATGCTGCTATGAACATTTCATGTACAAGCTTTTTTGCAGGCATATGTTTTCGTGTCTCTTGGATAGCCACCCAGGAGTGGGTTTGCTCGTTGGTATGGTTGGTGCAGGTTTAACTTGTTAAGTAATTGCCATATTTTCCAGAGTGGCTGCACCATTTTACATTTTCCATTTCCTTAAAGGAAATGAGGATCCCTATTTTTTCACATCCTCACCAGCACTTGTGATTGTCTCACTTTCTGATTATGGCCGTCCTAGTGGGTGTGAAGTGGCATCTCATTGTGGTTTTAATTTGCTTTTCTGTGGGAGGGTTCCCAGCCAGATTGTCCATTACTATGTTAAGAGAATGGACCTGGGACCCAGCGAGATGTAGGTTTAAATCCTGGCCTGGCCTCAGGGCTGCATTCCTGACCCTGAATCAACTCAGACCTGGTGGAAAGCCTGACTTGGGGCCCCTTTGGTCTCCCAGGAACAAGGTGGCTCTGAGGAGGGGGCCCTGCACACGTCTGGCCTCACTCTCTCAGCTGACCCCTTCCTCATACTTTTCTCTCTCCCCAGAATGCCNTTTTTTTTTTATTACTGAGTAGTAATTCATATATACGTGACTGCTTATTCGTTTATGCATTAAAGGAAATATGTGTTGTTTGTAGTTTTTGGTTATTATGAATAATGCTGCTATGAACATTTCATGTACAAGCTTTTTTGCAGGCATATGTTTTCGTGTCTCTTGGATAGCCACCCAGGAGTGGGTTTGCTCGTTGGTATGGTTGGTGCAGGTTTAACTTGTTAAGTAATTGCCATATTTTCCAGAGTGGCTGCACCATTTTACATTTTCCATTTCCTTAAAGGAAATGAGGATCCCTATTTTTTCACATCCTCACCAGCACTTGTGATTGTCTCACTTTCTGATTATGGCCGTCCTAGTGGGTGTGAAGTGGCATCTCATTGTGGTTTTAATTTGCTTTTCTGTGGGAGGGTTCCCAGCCAGATTGTCCATTACTATGTTAAGAGAATGGACCTGGGACCCAGCGAGATGTAGGTTTAAATCCTGGCCTGGCCTCAGGGCTGCATTCCTGACCCTGAATCAACTCAGACCTGGTGGAAAGCCTGACTTGGGGCCCCTTTGGTCTCCCAGGAACAAGGTGGCTCTGAGGAGGGGGCCCTGCACACGTCTGGCCTCACTCTCTCAGCTGACCCCTTCCTCATACTTTTCTCTCTCCCCAGAATGCCCTTCCCTTGATTTCTCATGTGGTTACCTCTGTCCAAGCCCTAGGGTCTCACCCAAACATCAAAGGCAGCTTATCAGGGAGGCCTCCTTGACTACCTAGTCCGAAGTGGGTCCTTGTCCCCCATCTCAGTCGATGCCACGTCCCCCTGCTTGTATTTCAGAGCACGTTTTCCATTTGCCATTTTTAATTATCCTGTTTACTGTTCTGTGGGTGTGTTTCCCTCTAGACCTTGAGCTCTAGGGGGGCAGGCCTCAGAGCTGTGTGGCTGCCACTGGTCCCACCACCTAGGACAGGGCCTGGCGCACAGTAGGCACACAGGAGATACCGTTTTCAACACATGAAAGAAAACATTTCTGTCCAAAATGTATCAGTATATTCACAACCTGGCCCTCAGGTAAGAGAGGTGAAGTGACACACCCAAGGTGTCACAGCCAAGAACTGTAGGACCAGGACTGCAGCTGAGGTCTTTCTGACTCTGAAGACCCCCTTTTACTATGGTGCTGTCCTGTGCTTTGGGAGATGACAGGAAGGAGCTCTTGCTGGTGAAGGGGACAGGAGGTGACAAGTGACATGTTTTAACTAACTCTGGCCCCAGCTCTGTGGCAGCCCCATCTGGCAGCGTGGGGGTTAGGAGTGCTCCCTGCTCCTGGCAAGTTTGCTGTTTAGTGGGTGAAGTGGACAGAGAATACATTGCAGAGAAGTGGGCTTGGGGCTGTGGCGGAGGAGGGCTGGGCAAGAGGGGAGTGGGTTTGGGTGGCCTGGGATCCCAGGGCCAGCCTTCAGGGAGCAGTGAGTCGCTGTGGATTTGTTGATTCCACAGGTGTTCATCACTTCCCCACTCTGTGCTGGCCCTGTGCTGGGCCATGCTCCAGAGTTAACCATGATCGTGGCAGTCTTGTTCCTGCTCTTGAAGGCTGATGGGTGAAAGGACAACTAGGAATAGGGATGAGGATGGGACTGGGAAGCTAGCAGGGTTCAGAAGAGAGGCAGTCAGAATTTCCCCATCTCAGACACTTCCAAACCTGACATTCAGAGATTCTTTGATTCTGAGCTTCTGTTTCTGAGTGAAGATTCTTCCTCTGGGAAACCCTGCCTAACTCCCTAACCTGCACTCACCCCCCTCCCACCCCTCTTCCTGCTGTCATCCTGCTGTGGTGGTCATCCAGGACAAGTGGCTTAACCTCTCTGAGCCAGGTGGAGCTGTTCATAGCTCTGGCCTCACGGGGTGGAGGTGCCGTGTTGTCACATACTCCTCCATTGTGGCTTATGGTAGCATGGCTTAAGCTCTGGTTGTATTTTTCTGTGTCTGTCTCACCTGCTGGAGCAGGAGCCTCTGGAGGGCGGGGATGGGCACAGAGGAGGCCTTAGGAACTGTTTGCCCAGGAAAGGAACTTTCAGCTAAACCACAGCCTTGCAGAATCTGGTACCTGCCACGAGATCCCCTTCTGTTGTCCTTAGTAGCCACCTTCTTGCATCCTGGCTCCAGCCCCAAGGAACAATGGACAGTCCTCAGAATCTGACTGTCTGTGTCTCTCATCTTCTGTTTCTGCATCTGCTGCTCCCCTCACCGCCTCCTTTGCACTGCCAACTTGCTATATTTCGTGTCTCAGCTCCAATGCCTCCTCTTCCAGGAAGCTGCCACTGACCCCTAGGCTGGCTCAGGCACCCCCTTTGGTCTTCTGCATCCCAGCCCTGTCCACTCTGGATTGTCACTGTCTAGAGACAGTTCTCTTTTTTCACCTGGACTATGAGCCCCAGGAGGACAGCACACGACTGTCTGGGTCACCACTGTGTGCCCAGCACAGAGGAGGCACTCAGGGAGTGTTTTCCTCCTGAAAGAAGAAGAGCCACCGCCCTTCCTAGGTGCTTGTATTTATTCATTCTCCAGTTATTGCTCACGTACCACCTTCGTGCTCAGCCTGTGCTGGGCCTGGTATGCAGTGGTGCCTAAACAGCCCCTGTGTCTTAAGTCCCATTCTCCTTCCTCATCTGACTTCTGTCCCCTGCAGGTGACCAGCAATGGCAGCATTAATGGGAGGGACCCACCAGCAGAGACCCAGCCCCAGAACCCACCACCCCAGCCAGCACCCAATGCCTGGCAGGTCATCAAAGGTGTGCTTTTCAGGTGAGTAGATGGGGCTTTGGTTTGTTCACTGAAAAAATTCAAATAAGAAAACTATTCCTAAGGAAGAAAAGAAAAATCACCTGAGGATGATAATCGTTACCATATTGGTAGAGATTCTTTTTTTTTATATGATGGAATTTTTTTTTTAACTTCTTTTACTTGTGGTAAAATATACTGAATTAGTTTGCTAGGGCTCCTATAACAAATAATACAGACTGGGTGGTTTAAACAAGAGAAATTCAGAAATTTATATTTTTACAGTTTTGGAGACTAGAAGCCCAAGATCAAGATGTCAGCAGGGTTGCTTTTTTCCAGGTCCTGTCTCCTTGGCTTGCAGATGGCCATCTTCTCCCTGTATCTTCACATGATCTTTCTTCTGCATGTGTGTGTGTCCTAATCTCTTCCTATAAGGACACCAATCATATGGATTAGGGTC